CGGCCTGCCAAGCACATTGCACTACAGCGTCCCGTCTGGGCAGTGTATTGGACTACAAGATGCTGCCTGGTATGGCAGTACTGAGTAGTGCAATTGGGCCTACATCTGTGCCCACGGGCGAGAAATGGTATGGTCCCACGCTTCCCCTGGGCGGAATCTGGGTATCCATGTACAGTGCTCATAGGGTGGCATATCGCACGGAATATGGGCTTCGTCACTGCCGGTGCAGTGAGCTGCATTGCAGCCTACTGCACCTGCAGTGAGGTTGCCATTTATTTTGAGCTACTCGAAGGGGGCATTGTACATATCCTACTTCAGCTAAATGTACTTACTATAAACTACCTTCTTTCAGACTATCATCATCGCAAAGTCATTAGAACGAAGTGAGAGGACTTAGGAACACGGACGCCGCTTGGGAGGCAAGAGTGAGGAGGTGGGGAGGAAGGGGGCCGGACGTTGACGAGAGAGGGAAGGCTGCTCCAACGCACGCTGGAGTAAGCTGCGGCAGCGCCTGCGCGATGACTTACAGCCATGCCTTACAGTCCGGCGTGGCGGCTCCTTCGCGAGACTTTTCGGGGCCCCCGCGAAGGCGTCCAGTTACGTGGCCACGTGTTCTTGCCTTCAGATTCAAATAATCTTCGCTGCATGAGATCACACCGGATCACGTCGCAATGATCCAATCTTCTCAAATCGATTGAACCCTCTCTATCGCATCCCCGCCAAACTAAAACGTCCTGCCATTCCCATTTCCTCCTTCTCAACCCATCCCCCCCCCGTCCACCACCACCGCCCCCCCCCCTCCATCTGCTGCTGCACAATGGCGGACGAATTCGACGATCTGCTCGACGACTTCGGGCGGCGCCCGTCCGTCCTCAAGCGTCTCTTCTACATCCTCCTCTCCCTCGAGCCCGTCCTGGTCACGGCGATCCTCTTCGTGCGCATCTTCCTCGTCTCCATCTCCGCCTCGCAAGTCACCCTCGTCCTCTCCGTTCTCCTTGCGGCCGTGCTGCTCTCCCTCTCGTACCACAACCTGGCCTTCGCCAAGGCCGCGCGCCTACGTCGCGCGGGCTCGCCGCCAACGAAGGGCGCGTACAAGGGCGACAAGGCCGCGTACGAGAAGGCCATGGCCTCGTTCGAGGGCTCCATCTCCAGCGCCTCCCTGTGGTACAGCTGCGCGTACAACAACGCCATCTTCATGATCGTCACCCCGCTCCTCGGCATGTACCTCCTCCCGGACAAGGTCGCCGGCGACCTCAACCTGCTGCTCTCCGGCGCCGCCGCCGCCGCCCTCGCGCTGTTCAACTCGAACACCGCCCTCAAGGCGATCGGAGAATAGCGGCACCGTGCACTGATAAAACTCATCGCGTTTCTCGCGCGTGGACAAAAGCCCCGTGCCATAACAATTTATGCCCCGCTCCGTGTACGACTACTCCCTGCCCGACCGCCCCGTCTATACTGCCTATCTAACAAGCTCGCACAGAGCCTTGACCACATCCCCCCTCGCCTGGCGCAGCGCGCGCTCGGCCTCGCGCCGCTCCAGGTCGAGCTCGTCCACGATCAGCACCACGTCCGCCTCCTGCACCTTGACGTTGAGCAGCTCCTTCTCGGCCGCGTCCTTCTTTGACACGCTCGACTTTCCCAGCATCGCGCGCATCGAGTCCGCAACCTGCACCGTGTCCATCTCACGCTCCTCGACATAGTCTGTCACCTTGTCCAGGTCGCCCGTCGCCTTCGCGCGCACCCGGTTCTGCTCCTTCGTTGCGGCCGCGTCTTCCGACGACATCGTGGGCGGGCAAAGGGAAACGGCGATGGGGCGCAGCTTAGAGCGAAGTCGACCCTGTTAAAGCCGCGATTTCGAAAAGTAAAGACTGGGTGCGACCGGGTGCGTGTTGTGGGTGGCTGTGGTGGCAGAGCCGATCATGAAATGCGAATTCTCGATAATAAAAAAATCAAACCGCCCCATACGGAGCCCGTGGTGACGCCGACGACGACACGGTCTCCAGCGCCCACAGTAACATGTTACGCGCCGGCCGACTCTGGGCGCTCAGTTTTGCCCGCCCCGGCGGCAAGCAGGACACCCTCCCTCATACTCCCCTGCCCCCCTCCCCTTCCGCCCACCTCGCTATCACGCGCCATGGCGAGCCCTCCACGTTTCCGGCGCGCGCCGTTCTAACGTGCGAGGAGGGTAAGCAGCCGCGCGAGGGGCCGGCGGGCGCCGTGACGAACGGGGGGGGGGGGGGGGGGGGGGGGGGGTAGGTACTACTATTCAAAGCCCTCACCCATACTGAATTGGGAGTGCGTCAAAATATAGTTCCGTACTACAGCAGCACTTCTGTAGTTGACATAGGGCATCTTTAGTTTGTGCTAGTGAAATGAATTGCGCTCAAACGAGGCGACTTTGAAGATGTTAGTTGTGAAATCGTAAGACCCCACCGCAGCGCTCTCAGTCGCCAGTGCATTGACTTGACTTACGCTCCGAAACGATTTCACAACTAACATCTTCCGGCTGCGGTGGGGGTGGTAGAGTTTGAATTGGACAGCAGATGAGGATAAATGACGGGGACGTCAGGCCTTGCTGTACGATGTAGAGAGTTTGGCGAGGTCGAGATTGTTGACGTCAAGTGATTTGTTCAATCTACAGTACAGCTGTACGCTGTACGGTTCCGTATTGCACCTCCCCCAACGCTATCCAAGCAAAGTGCGGAGCAAAGTGCACGTCCATTTTTCCCTCACTACAGTATTTCCTCTTTTGAGCGGAACGCCGTGGTATGACACCTCACTAGAACCCTGCCTCCCCAGTCCCCCCTCTCGCCCGCGCCATCTCTCCCCACCAACCCCCCCTCACCATGACGCTGCGAATAACGCGGGGCATCACGTCGCTCCCCAAGCGCGTGCGGGTAATCGCGGTGACCTTCCTCGCGCTGATGGCGCTACTGACGCTGATGTCGGACGGCGGCCCCCGGGAGACCGACGCCACGCCCGAGTCGCTCAAGAGCGCGTCGGCGGGCGAGCACGCCGTGGACGACGTCCCGCTGGCGCCCAAGTCGCGCCTGGACCTGGGCGCCTCGGAGGAGGGCAAGACGGCCACGATCGTCACGTGCCCGAGATGCAGGCTCAACTCGCTCCCCCTCGTCAAGAAGTTCGTCTACCACCACGCCAAGCTGTTCGAGCCCCGCCTCAAGGTCGACTTCATCCTCGGGGAGGACCCCGTGCTGCACCTGTATGACCACGGGAAGGAGGTGGAGGAGGTCCCGCTCGCGGTAAGTTTCGCGTTCGCATCGCCGTGCGAGAATTGGCTCCGCGTGGCCCCCGCCGTTTTCTAACCCGGTTTGCCATTTGTCTGGTTGTTTTTTTTTTTTTTGGCCCGTGCGGTGGAGCAGAAGTTCGACTGGAAGCAGATCATGCGGAAGCTCGTCGAGTTTGGGATTAAGCCCATCGATGTCACGGAAGACGTGCGAGAAGCGTTGGAGATGCAGGATGAGTAGTCATGGCGCGCGGATCGCTACATTCTTCGCGTGCGTCCGCATGCTCCTATCCACCCCCCACTCACTACCTCTCGCGGCTCAAAGCTATGGAGTTAGACGCAATGCTCCTTTGCAACCTTCCAAGCCTCGTCTTTCACTCGGCGGCATTATGTAATTCGCTGCCTGTCTTCGAGATGCCCGAGTGCGATGCTGCTGTACAAGTAAATATCCTGTTGTATACGACAAGGAAGACTTGCTGTGGGAGCTTGCAGTTGTGAAGTCGATCTCCATGGCTGGGGAATGAGCGGGACGTAGCATGTCTGTACACCGACGCTTGCGCGTGCGACGACCCGCTGCCGATATGCCTGCAGCTTAATGTACGACTGCATCACAGCGGATTGGGATTGCGGTAAAACTCACGAGTCCGTCGAAAGCGTTATGCCAACGTAAGGCAGGGCTTAGCTAATACTTGTACTCAAAGAGAAAATGCGGCGATGCGATCCCATACCGTTTGCACAAGAGTGTTAAGACCACAAAACCTGTGCGGGGCCGATCATTCTCTCTAGCTGTGCACCCATACTATCGTGAGTTTATAAATTGCGTTCTCAATAAATGGAGACGTGGAGAAGGCGGGTGGCCTGAATGCACGCCGCGCGTGAGATGCCTTTGACGAGCTGAACCCAGGCATGGCCACCTGACTTGTGTGACGTCCAGCCTGTTACTCTAGCTCTCCAAGGCAATTGATATCTGCCAAATGCCCCAACACACGCACCGCCACTCACGTTGTGGAGCGGAACACACACCTCGTTTCTACCTACTTGCTCACGCGTCACGGCACTCCCTTCAGCACGGCGACTGAGCAACGCGGAAGCGCAGTGACAAGGCTGGGACCGTTCGGCATTGCAACGGGAGGCAATTGGTGACAAAAGTGGTATAGTGTACTGTAATATTGGATACGACGCGCCTGATGGAGACATTGATAGTATCTCTATGCTGTGCGCAGAGATCGAGTAGGGCCCGACACGCGGTCTAGGCCAGGGCTACAAAAAAAACAAGAGTATGAAATCGTTGCTCGACTATGGGGCGACTCTGAGTTAAAAAAACTGCACGCGCACGAATCGGGTGAGGAAAGCTGTTCGGCAATGTAACCCCAACGGGCTTGCAAGTGTTGGCGAGGTATAGAAGGGCTTCGGCTCTCCCGCGGCGACGGCGCAAAGCAAAGAAAGACGGGCGTCCCTACGAAACCGACTTGAGTATGACTTCCTGCAGCTTGCGCAGCTCGGTCCTTGTCGAAAGATCCATGAAGCGATCGCCGACCATGATGGTCAACCCGCCGAGCAAGCTCTGGTCAATAGCCGTCTCAACAGTAAGCTCCGCATTCGGCTTGTCCGCGAAAAACCTAGCCTTGATCTCTTTCTTGAGCAGCGCGAGCTCCCAATCGGATAGCGGCATTGTCGTGGTGACCTTGACGACAACCTCTCCCTTGAGCGCGGCGATGATATCCTGAAACGACTGTAGGGTCTTCGTGGTCTCCCCCGTGCGGCCGTTCTCGGCCATGACGATGAAGAAGTGGGAGAAGATGTCGGAGAAGGCGGCCTTGCGGACGATGTCGGACACGACCTCTGTCTTTGCGGTGCGCGGCAGGGTGGGGTTAGCGAGGAAGCGCTCGAGCGTGGCGTTCTCCGTGGTCATGTTCTGCATACGCGACACGTCACCGATCACGGCGTCCAGCGAGCCGGTCTTGCGCGCGGCGTTGTACAGAGCGGTGGCGTAGCGGCCGGCCGTGTCGACCGCGCGCGGGATCTCGACCTCCGCGGCGACCGCCGTGGACAGGCGGCGCGACAGCGAGCGCGCGAGCGCCCGCGCGGGAAGGGAGGTCGGCAGACGGAACATCGTGGCGCGGGATCGGAGGAAGCGGCTGCGGCGATCGCGGAGGGGGCGGGAGGGAGGGCTGGATTGGTGCGCGCGATGCGGGGTGGGGGAGGCGTGAGGAGGAATAAGGTGTGGCTGCGGGCACAGCCGAAATTCGACGGAGATTGAGAGGGGTGCCCTGGGCAGAAAATGAAAATGTCTGTGTGAAGGGCGTTTGGGCTGTATTTTTCTAGTTTTCTGCGGGGGCTGGGAAATAGCGGTTCGGAAGGAGTGCTGCCTTTTTTTTAAAGGAAGATTTTGAGGCGTTTTTTTTTTTTTTTTGTGGCGAGGGCCACAAAAAATACGCCTCAAAATCAAAATCACCGATTAATGATTTAGAGTTGTGCATGAAATTGAAGAGACATGGTTATGTAGGTTATGTTGGTACACGGTCTCAGAAGGGTGAAGGGCGGCTTTCAAATATCAAACGAAGCACAAGTCGCTATTCCCGAAAAGAAAAAAATCACTCTTCAACTCCCTGTTCTTTTCCCACCATCTCCGTTTCCTCTTCGTTACCATCAGTTAACCCCCCATCTCTAATCCCCTAATCTGTTCCATCCCGGCCAATGTCACCTCCAACTGGCGCCGCCACCGCCCCAACCTGTGCTCCCAAGTGCACTGTGTCGCTTCGGTCGTCCAGACTCACGACAGTGTGACCAAAGTCTGGACGAGCGAAGCGCCATAAGCATCTTTGGCCCACACTGCCCAAACACACCAAGAATGATTACCAAAAAAAAGCTTCGGGTCGCACTCTCGGCAGTGACGAGACACGAACGGTCACCGCGAGGGAGAATGGCCCCCCCTTGTAAGCTGAAAAAAGTTGGTTGTATGTGTATTTACGCGTGCACGGCCGTCCTGGTGCAGCGAAAGCTGATCAAACGGCTAGCCCGACCATTCCTGAATAGATACGCAGGTTGATCATTCGCCCCGCCGTCTTTGTAGCGCCCCATCACACAACTAAGTCGCCTGGCCTAGAAACTGAGCACGCCATCTGCCTGCCAGTTGACGCGATCCCCTTCGTCCGCACCTCCGCCCATCCGCCGCCCCCCGCCCTTCCCACGGCTCCACCGCAGCCCGCGCCGCGGCGCCACGCGCGCTCCTTCCTTCCCGTCCCAAGCGCTCACTGTGCCCTCTGCCCGACATCTCGGCGGCGCCGTGCTTGAAGCCGCGCCGCGCACCTGCGGCGCAAGTGCGTAAAAAGTTTTTCTGCCTTCTCGCGCAACCCCGCATCCCGCTGCCAGCGCCACCTGGGCGCGGACAGCGCGGAATTGGAGCTCCCTCGACACGTCACGGTTTCCAAAGAGGCAGCCAATCACACCTTGCCGCCCACGAGATCTCGCCTTTTCCCTTTTCTGTCTGCGGCACATCCCCCGGCCTCCACCTTGCCGCCATCTCCGCGCCCTCCACTCCCGCGCCCTCCACTCCCGCGCCCGTTCACCCGCATACGCGCACCACGCCCTTCTTCTACCCCCACCCCAGTTCCCGCGCCCCGCCCGATCATGTAACACGCCCCCCTGTCACCTCCCC